ACTCATAGCAACACCTCCTTGAGTTGCTGAGGCCGTATCACTATGGAAGTAGATTGTCCAACCTTCCTTCTGAGGAGTGGCTGGTGGGTTTGTACTGCCAGCCTTCTGGTTAGCAGTCAAATGCCTTGGGCACTATGCCACCAGAGCTTCTGGATTCTCAATTCTGTTTCATCATTGGTCTATGATTGTGTCATTGTACCAACATCAAGTTCTTTTGAAAACCAAGGCTATATAGTAGGTATTAAGGTCAGAGAGTGTGAGCCCTCCTACTTTGTTCTTCTTTTAGTAGTGTTTTGCTTATATGAGGTCTCCTTTTTTTTTCCATATAAATTTCATGATTAGTTTTTCTGTGTCTTTAAAGAATGGTGATGTACTCTGGATCAGAATTACATTATATCTGTAGATTATTTTGCATATTGACATTTTCACAATGTTAAATCTTCCTATACGTGAGTATAGTATGTTATTTTATGTAGATCTTTTTTGATTACTTGTAGTAGTATTTTGTAGCCTTCCTCGAATACATCTTTTGTATTTCTGGTTAGATTTCTTCCTCAATATTTCATCTTTTGGGAAGTTATTGTAAATGGCATTGTTTTTCTGATTTCCTTTTTGATACTTTGTGATGATGTAGAGGAATCCAACTGAATTTTACTGAATTATTCTATTTGTTTCAATAGTTTTCTTGTTGAATCTCTTGGATTTTCTATGTATAGGATCATATCATCTGTAAATAAAGATAGTTTTACTTTTTCATCACCTATTTGTATGCCTTTTATTTCTCTTTCTTGCCTTAATGCTTTGGCTAGGACTTCCAATGCAATATGGAAAAGGAGTGGTGATAAAGGACATTCTTGTCTGTTTCCTATTCTCAAGGGGAATTCTTTCAGTCTGTTTAAACAGAGAATAATGTTGGCCAGTGGTTTTGTGTATATTCCCTTAATTTTTAAAGAAATTTCTCTTCTGTTCCTATTTTTCTGAATATCAAGAATGAGTGTTGGATTTTGTCAAATGCCTTCTGTACTTTGATAAATATGATCATGTGGTTCTTTTCGTTTCTTTTATTTACATGGTGGATTACACTGATTGTTTTTCTAATGGTGAACCATCCCTGCATACCTGGTATGAATCTCATTTGTTCATTATGTTTTATTTTTCTGATGTGATGTTGGATTCTATTGGCTAGAATTTTGCTAAGAATTTTTGTGTTTATGTTCCTGAGAGATTTTGGTCCATAATTTCATTTTGTAGGTATGTCTTTGCCTAATTTTAAGGAGCTCTTGTGATATAGTGGCAATAGCACCGGGTTGCTAACCAAAAGGTTGATGGTTCGAACCCACCAGCTTCTCTGCAAGAGAAGGATGAAGCAGTCTGCTTCCATAAAGATTTATAGCCTTACAAACCCTTTGGGGGTTGCTATGAATTAGAATCAACTCAGTGGTGATGGGTTTTGTGTTATGTTTACTCTATAGAATGAGTTCAAGATTATTCACTCCTTTTCTGTGTTTTGGAATAGTTTGAGGAAAATTAATGTCAGCTTTTCGCTGGATGTTTGGTAGAATTCACCACGGAAGTTGTCTGGGCCAGTATTGTTTTGTTGTTGGGAATTTTTCTATGACCTATTCCATTTCTTCTTTTTTGATGGTTCTCTTCAAATTTTCCACCTCAGATTATGTTAGTTTCCATAGGTCATGTGTTTCTAGACATTTGTCTAGACATTTCTTTTAGGTTTTGAAAGTTGTTGTAGTTCAGTTCTTCATAGTATTCTGTTATTAATTTATTTCAGTTGGTTCTGTTGTGATATCACCTATTTATTTTCTAATTTGTGTTATTTGCATCTTCCCTTCTTTTCTTGGCTAAATTTGCCAGTGGTATGTCAATTTCATTAACCCTTTCTAAGAAACAACTTCTGGTCTTGTTAATTATTCCTATTGTTTTTCTTATTTCTGTTTCATTTATTTCTACTCGAATCTTTATCATTTCTTTTCTTCTGGTAACTCTAGGTTTTTTTTTTTTTTGCTATCTTTTTTCTAATTGGGGGAGATCTTCAGTTGAGGCATTGATTTAGTTCTTTTTCTTTTGATGTGTGAGTTTGTTATTGCAAATTGTCCTCTGAGAACTGCTTTACTGTGTCCCAAAGATTTTGGTGTGTTATATTTTTATTCTCCTTCAACTCAAGGAATTTTTTTATTTCTTCAACTGCCAAGAAGTTTTTAGGCAGGGTATTTTTCAGTTTCCAGGTATTTTATTATAAATTTGTTAATCTTCCTGTTGTTGATTTCTGATTTTATAGCATTGTGATCTGAGAAGATGCTTTGCAGTATTTCAGTGCTTTTAAATTTATTGAGGCTTGCTTTTGCCTGACATATGGTCTATCCTGGAGAATGTTGCATGTGGGCTGGATAAGAATGTGAATTGTGCTGTTGTTGGGTGAAGTCTTCTGTAGATGTCTATAAGGTCAAGTCGGTTGATTGTATTGTTTAGTTCTTCT